TATTGTTTAAAATTATTTTTTAAAATAAAAAAATATCTCTTTTTCTAATATAAAGATTAGTTGTGTGAACTTTTTTTATGGAATCACATTATATACAAATATTGTTTTTCATCTAAGAAGATATAGTTATAAAGTATTTTATTACTTCAAAATTATATTTTATGTTATTTAAAATATATTTAAATTAAATATTACTAATGTGTAAACTTTCCATTTTTATGAAACCATATTTTTATATATTTATATTTGCGTTTTTAAAGAGTTTTGTAAACTTTATACATGTTTCCTTTTTATTTTATATTGTTATTTGAAAAAAAAAATTAAAAGGAAATAATAATATTTAAATGTATTTTTTTTTAATTTATTAAGGGTATCATAGTAATCAACCAGCGTGAGAGTTAACGTGAGTGCGACACATAAGAAAGTGACTTCTCAAATAATATTATAGAGATGTCATTGAAGTTATTAATTAACCTACTTTTAGGATTCTTTGTATTTTCCTCTTCAATTAATGTATTTCCAAAATCACATTATATCTAAAAAAATATGGCAACAATAATTAATAAACTTACCTTTCACTATTTTTTTTTGTATTTTCCTGTTTTATTACATATATGTGTGCTGGAAAATAATTAATATATCTAGCTTAAAATAATTAATGAATCATTTGTTTATAAAGTTATATATAATATTTTTATTATTTATTAGTATTAACTAAAAATAAAATTAACATAAAAATAATCATTTATATAATATATAAATTAATATGTAAATATATTATGTTACATATATTTTCATATAAGTAATACTACAAGGTAAATTTAGTATTGTAAATGTTGAAAGTATAAAATATATTGCACTATATATATATTTTTTTTTATAACACTTGTAACAAGGACCGTACAATATTGGGAGCACTATATATTTTAAATAGTATATTCAACAGTTTTATTAAAATTATTATAAAATTTTGATTCAAAACATATAGATATATTGATCATATTCTAAAAATAAGGATGATACAATGTTAAAAAAACTATTTAATATAAACTATAAAATTATTATGTTTAAAAGTATTATATTAAACAATTATTTAAACATATAAATTTTAAAATATATACGAAGAATTTTAAAAATAAATATTTATTTATAAAAAGGTAAAAACAAACATCTGCGTGGATTGCGGGTAAGACTCCAATATATATATATGTTAGGTGAAAAGATTGGATAAAATAGTTAAATATCAAAATGTTGATGAGTGGATTATATATCATAAGAATTTACTAATTAAATATTAAAGAAATTAATAAAATGTAATTAACTAATTATGATGTTGCTTTACTTTATAAGTCCTTTTAAATATGTCGACGATAATCTATTGTTTCTCAAAGGTTATGGATAAAAATTAAAGATATATAGTGGGGCTTTTTGCAAATTTGACTCAAAACTCCAAGTCAAACACAAAACTAACCTCTTCTTTTGACTCATCTTGTTTTTGTCCTATTCACCCCACATCTTCATTTTATTTACGAAAATGCCATTTATATGTTTTTTGAATTTTTTTTCGAAAATGGCATTTTTACTCTCTCAACCTCATCATCTTCAAGTATTTACAACA